ATTTGTAGAAATTAGTTTATTATTTTCAAAACTTAGACTTGCATCTCATCAAACTTATCAAAATTACGATTCTATACGCGTCTACACTGGGCTCGCTGCCATCGCAGCGGTAAGTCCCCTCTTTGAGGAGTGGCTTGAGAGACGCTACGGCGTCCTCACCTACCGCCTGACGCAGGTCCTCACCGGACATGGAAGTTTCGGGAGGTACCTGTGTCTGATGGGGCGGGAGGAAACGCCCGGGTGTCATCACTGCGAGGACCGCCCTGAGGACACGGTGGAACACACGGTGGGAGAATGCCCTTCGTGGGCTGAGCACCGCCGTGTCCTCAGGGAAGTGATCGGCGATGGCGACCTCTCGCGTCCGGGCCTAGTGCAGGCCATGATGCGGAGCGAGGGGGATTGGGATGCCGTCTCCTCCTTTTGCGAAGCAGTCATGCTAGCTAAGGAGGAGGCGGGACGCGTGAGACAGCGAAGCGCTGCCTCCTCGCAACCCAGCCATCGCGAAGGACACACCGGGCGTCGGGGATCGCGGGACGATCTCCGGCCACCGTAAGCGCGGGCCTGCGGACGGCGAGCATGGGTGGCTCCCCGTCCGACCAGAAACAGACCCGAGCGTACGGCGCGTCGCGTTCCGCGCGCGCCTCAAAGAGCCATCAGACCACCACAGATGGGGCCCAATAGGGCCGATGCCGATTCGGAGTCGCGGAGAACCTAACGGGTAACCGGGGCTCCGGCTCGACGTGCAGGAGAAGGAACGGGGTGGTTTTTAGTCAGTAAGAGTCTGACACTCCCTCCCGCCTCACCCAGGCGGGGGCAGTCATTCGATGATTTTCCCCCCTTAAAAAAAAAAAAAAAAAAAAAAAAAAAAAAAAAAAAATACGCGTCTACACGGTAATACACAAACCTTTACTCCAAATAGGTACAAATAGTAATTCAGGCAGTCACATGGCGTCATTATTTTTTGTTAAAAATGTTTAAATGCCATTCTTTTCAGCCTTGAAAGCAGACAAAGAATGGAATTTTTCCCACGAAAAACTGTACAATTTTGTAGTTGTGTTGAGTTTATGGAGTTCCGGGTTCCCGAAAACCTTTTGCTACACGTGGGATTTGGGATCCAGGACATTTAGTAGAGGTTCTATGTTGCAAGCTCTTGCGTCACACATTCCCACGGGCCCATCCTAACCCAGCCTAGCCCATCCCAAGCCCTTCAATGGTCACTCGGACATTTTTCACACCATTTCGTTCCACGTCATTGGTTTCCGTGAAAAGTGCACAATTTTTTCATTCCATTGTATGCTTTGAATTTGAGGAATCGTTTTCGAACAAAAGTTTGACTTTCACTAAAATAGGTTAATCGTTGGTCTATTTATGCTATTGTGTTTGGTGTGGGTAAAGTTCGGTTGTTTGAGAGGTTCAGGGTGTGGGTACATAGTGGGTACATAGTACATAGTGGTTAGGTAGCATATGCATTTAAGTTATTTTTCTATTTATAAATCAGAACTCACATCAATTGTAGATAAGTATATATTGTAATACTGCTGTTTTGGTACCTTTAAAATGTTCGTCAAATCGAAGAAATATCGGTAGACTACAAACTACGATAACAAATTACCAATCCAGAAGAGAAAATTTGCGGAAGCAAAATCATTTCGATGTGCCCATTTATTTCGCAAGCCAATATCATGTAAAATCAGTATGATTCACATACACATATCGGTAAAAGTACAAAATTATGCCTAATAACACGAACAAAAGGCCAAACCTATTCAAAATCCATCGATCCCATTCTGCAAACAGCCAGACAGTGATTTCATGGTAAAGATAACTGTATCAAAATTTGGATGCTACGTCATTTGGCCAATTGGCCCGGCGAGGACATCGGTCGGAGCACAAAGAACCGGACGCCGGCATCCGCTTTCCATCGGCACATTTTTTTGGAAACACCAAAATTTTCATAGTCCAAACCTTCGGCCTGGCATTGTCATGTAGATTCGAGGTTTATTATGTTGCTAGTACTAACTAACTACCTGGTAGTATATTTGTACTTGCGAATTTGTACTCAGAGTTTGTACTGCGCAGATGGGCGAGAGAGGAGAAAGCGGAGTAAGGTTGATAGATTACTTTTTGGTTGCTCTATTTATTTCGGTTGTCGTTATATTGTAAGCTACTTCAAAATTACCTGTAGCTGCTGGTTCTATAATTTCACACATCAAACACCTGTTCTTTTTCTTATCATTTGGTGTTATTTTTTATTTGTCTCATCCTATCTGGATTACTTACCTCATTACTTATATGACCCTTCTCACAGACCACGTCAAAGGAGATATTCGCTGCGCAGTTAACACTTCGGTTATCTTTGTTTTGTTCGAAACTCTATGTTATGGTCTTATCATTGTTTTTCATATCCTCATAACACATGAAATTCGCACTTATAATTGCCTTTAGAGGAAGGAAAATGGATAGGAAATAACATTATAATAACCGTGCGCTCATTTACTATGAGCAAAACAATAGTATTGAAGATAATGTAATATGTTTAATGTCTAGACAATTACCTATATAGTTAATTTGTTTACATACTCCATCGTCTATATTTCATAACATTTCTATTTATAGTCATAATTCCTGTTATTGAAATGCAATAATGTAGTTGTGTATATAGAGACACATCAGTGAATGCTTAGTTTATCTTACTATCGTAAACTTATTTCTAATACTGTTATGCATCCGGTAGAATATTCTTACTGATATTGATGATAGACTATTTGAGAAAATCAGACTCACATGTTCATTAGTTGTTCAAAGAGAGTAGCATCTCTGTAGTGATCGTACCTCACTAGCCAACAATCTACTGCCTGTGTGACTAGCGCAAACTGTAAAACTTTACTGGCATTATTTTACACAGGTAATTATGATGTAGAACCACAAAAGCCAACATCAAATAGGTTCATTATAAAATTCGCCACAAACTGTAGACAATTTTCATTGGAATATTTCCCAACATATACCTACATACATGAATACAATTAATTGCATCTATTTCACGGGTGTGCGCAAAATAACGGTTTCGATGTCAGTATCCATTTCAATATGGACGCCATCGATAAAGCGAAGTACTGTTACGTGGTACAAAGCGAAAGAGTAGTGATGCATGGGTTTTGTATATGACTAGTTACAACCCAACACTTCGTGCTCCGATAGTTGCGAATGTTATAAATAAGCCTTCATTGTTCATCTACTGTATTGGTCTCGTTTGTTAGGGCCGTTGATGGTTCTATATGTATTTATAGCGTATGAAAATTACTAACCAAGTCTGGCTTTGATCTAGAATGATCAGGCACTGTAGCACATTTTATAGTTAATTTATAAAGCAAATAATGAATGTAGAAATGTAGTTGCTAAGCCCAATTGTGTGCCAAATCTGTTAGGATTAGACTCCATATAAAGTGCTAAAAGTCAACGCACGAAAAATCATCTAATCATGTGCAAACGGACATGGGAATCGCGGTCACATACATAGGCGACGCACGATTCGATAATAACAATAATAACAAAGGGATATTGAAAACATGTTGTTGAGATGAAAAAATATTTATTCAGTTAAAATATTGTGCAAATGTTTTGTCTTTGTTTCTATAAACAGCATCATTTAAAGTTTGTCTTCTTTGTTTGTTAAATTCTTTGCTTAGTTTATTTAGTTTATCAAACAAAATTTTTTAGGTTAATGTATGAAAGATAGAAGGATGCCGAAATAACTGGTTCATTAAGTATGATCGGTACGTACATTATGAATTCTGTTTTTGTTATTTCTTAAGTTTAATCAACTAATTCCCAGATGGCCTTCTTCACAACGTGCTGCATTTACTAGGTACATATTACCCAAAATTTCCTGTTATTTCTGGGACTTTAAACTTTAGGCTACCAACAATTACCTTCACCAGGTACTAAGAACCTTTGACTAGATTCAGGATGGGTTTAAAAACGTAATTTTCAATATAAAATTCTAGGTTCCGATAAACTAATTATACCTAATCTATCTGTTTCAACACACGAGTAACAAGACACTCCAGTTACATATCTAAATTACATCTATAATTAGCCAATGACAAAACCTGGACGCGCTGTTTTGTATGTAGTAGACATTTCGCGCCATTTAACACATAGTGACACAAATAAATAGATACAAGCGCTATTTACGTGCAAAACATCATAATACAGATCTGTATACTGCAATTATCACAGGCACGGCCCCATATAGATGGTTGCCATAATTTTCTAGCTGAAGGCCGTCATTATATGGATACTAAACGGTGTACATATTACTCTGGGTCTCTGGACATTACAAATATATATTTGATCGCAATAACCTTGCTCCCGATAGTCTCTTGTCTGCTGATTAGTGCTTTGCGAAACGATAATCGCTTTCTGAAAAGACCCATAGAACTTGTACAAGTGAATTATCTCTCTATTTGTTAATTGTAAAGATGCTAAAGAAGTGAGTAATGGGACATAAAATTGACATACATATTTGCAAATTTACTATTGACACGAACTGTAGTTAACTCTATTATCGACTAGAAATGTATTGTTAAACAATAAAGATGAAAATCTGTAGAGAACTATACCAACGACAAGGTTCACAATTGATAAATTATGATTTGCTAGCGTATGGACAATTACGGAGCCGCGGAAGACTTAACGGGTTGCCGGGGGGGCTCCGGCTCAGAGAAGAGCAGAAGTAAGAACGGGTTGGTTTTTAGTCAGTAAGAGTCTGACACTCCCTTGTTCCTTACTCAAGGTGGAAGAAAACAATGACATTGGGTGATTATCCCCACTCAAAAAAAAATAGGGCAATTAGGATTTGCGAATTCCTTGCTTAGGTAGGTAATGCAGAAACTACTAGTTCTAGTTAGTTAATTACGTCCTATATAGTAAAAACTTCAAGCTACATCGGATTTTAGGAAATAGATGTCCTAATAATTCATTGTATATTGATACAGGTGACCATATGAGTGGTCGGTGACGAGGAACACAGCAGCGTCAGAAGATGAAGCCCCGGGGGGCGAGGGTCATGCATGCCTTCACTGCACTCACCATGCTCACCATGGCCAATGGTAAGATACCTAAAACACCACTCACAGTAATAAGATATTTACCTATATTTAGACATAAACAAATAACATAAGGATCATGCCTCCCATTCTTCAAATGAGACATAAGGCAAGGATGCGGTGCACATGTTAAATATAACATCCATCACTATAGAATAAAGGGCAAGTCTACTGCCATATACCGGACAATATGCCATGCTCAATGCTGCTACAGAGTGATGAATGACTTACAATCACAATTTTCCTTCTTTTTGTTTACTCATTTTTGCTTTTATCCGAAGAGGTAAGGGGTAATTAATATTTTGAACTTTATGTCAGTTTTTCCCCGAAGAAATATATTAGAGTAGGTCCTTTTGTTTTCCTTTAATTATGTCATTAAGCGTATTAAATTGAAGTGAGCTCATGATAACTGTATTCTGTATACTATGAACCTGTTGTATCCTTATGCAAATCGTAATGGTGAGTTACGTAAACAAAGTTTTAATGAGCCATCATTTCATAATAATGTGTTTTGCCTTAGCCTATATAGTGTATGAATCATTAAACAAACAAATAAATATTTAAAGGTATAGCCTCTTGATAGTGTCCAATAGTTTTATTAATAGGTAAGTAAACAATTATCTCCATAATCGTTTGTGTTACAAAATTATTATTGAATATATTTAACATAGTATGTTTGATAAGTGTCAATAACAACATTCCTATCCCTTTGATTGATTTCCTCTTCCGTACTTAGACATATCGTTTAATTAGTTATCTAACACTTCAAATAGTTATTAATAACAAGAAATACTTAGAAAACTGGGAACTGGGAAGTTACTAATTTATTGCTTCAAGTAATTTATTGATACATAACTAATCAATACTTAGTTGGAATAAGTTTCATACTAAGTAGCTTAGTCTGCTGTCTAAAATCATTTACAGATACAGACTGATTTGCTGACCTGTTGGTGTTACTAACTACTTAAGAAACTAAAAAAATATAACCTACAAGCAAAATATTACAGAGGCGATTTTTAGCTACAAAATGTCAAATGTGCTGTTGGAAACAAAATCTAAGTCAACAGACATCACGCTTTTTATAGACAGTGGTTTCCACTGTACAATGTAACACCCATTGTTCACTATTTACTTAAACAACTTATAAAGACATAATCAAACACTACGTTAGCCGAGATTATCTATCTGTGACTTAATTAAAGACTGTTTACCTAATATTAGATAACTCATGAACTCACTTTGTTATACAAACAAACGGACTACTGGCTGGTATGTACGTAATCCGGAGCTGCGGACAACTTAACAGGTTACCGGGGCTCCAGCTTGAAGTAAGAGTAGGAACGGAGCTGTTCTTAGCCAGTAAGAATCTGACACACGGGCGGGAGAAATCATTAGACGATATTGCCCTTCTAAATAAAACTGATACAGAATGTTTCAACAGAAT